TGACCTCCAGTCGAGCAGCGCAGAAACTTGCACCAGGCTAGGGGTTTAGGGTTTAGGGTGTAGGGTTTAGGACTTAGGGCCTAGGGTTTAGGGTTTAGGGCTAGAACCGCATTTTAGCGACCAGGCCGTTGTGAGGAGTCATTGAAGAGTTGAATATGCAGCTTGGCTCAAAGCCCCCTGGTCCCCAGATCCCCAGCCTGTAGCCCACCAACCCCCACAAGCATGAGGGGCCCAACCAAAACCCTAAACCCTAAATCCTAAATCCCTAAACCCAAGCAAGCCCTTACCCAGAGCCTGGTTTGGGGAGTTGCCCGGTGTTAAACAGCCGTCGGAAAAAGTGCATCCTTCTGACAACGCGAACAAAAAGCTCCGAAAGCTGCCCAAGTTCCACTTGGGGTTTAGGGTGTGGGGTTTAGGGGTTTTGGGTTTAGGGCTTAGGGTTTAGGGCGGGCTTCACTGCCCAAAAAGACCCCAAAACCGTTCAGGCCCAGAGGACAGAGCACGCTGCATGAGTTTTTTGTCTGCTCTTGCGGTGCCGGCATCGCACTTCGACCTCAGGAACAGCACAGGCTTGGGCATGGATAGGCTGGCACCCTTAGAGGGTCTCAAAATCCTGAATTACGTATTCCTTAAACCATAAAAGGAACCCTCTTGTACTTTATGCAAAGTTCCTGAATTAAGGGGTATTGGAGTCTCTGGGCGGACTGGGCCGACTACAGGAGTGTGTTCCTTTTGTGAACTGCTGAAAGCATTCCCTAAGTTTAGGGCCCAGGCTTTTCAAAACAACAAGGCCATTGCTATAAGATATGATGGCTCTTAAACCCTCTGACAATGTTCCTGAATATGATCGTCTTAAGCCCAATAAGGGAAAATATAAAGTGCCCCTAGGAAGCCTGTGACTGCTCTTGGGGACTCGCCGGTTAACGTGGGACAGCGGGGGGGGGGGGGGGTTCAGAGCTCTTCCAAGTATAGCATCGGAAAACCGACTTCGTGCAAAGGGAAGAACATGTCACCTTCTGGATTGCATCCGGGTAGTACGCGGGGTCGTTCTTCCATATGCATTCCGTCACATGCATGGTCCCTAAACCCTAAGTCCTAAACCCTAAAGCCTAAATCCTAAACCCTAAAACATCCCCACTGAGGTCCTGTTACGGAACCTGTAATATGTTATTCAAGCCCAGAGCGAAACACAAGCTGAATGCAGGCTGCCACGCAACCTAAACCCTAAACTCTAAACCCGAATGGTTCGGCCTTTTCATGACGCCACCAAAGCGGGGTTCAGGGGTTTAGGGTTGGGATGTTGCCCCATATACTAACAGTCCTTAATACGGATCATAACAGGGGGTGCTAGAATCATACTTGGAAGTTCATGGTACTTATGAACCACTTATAGCTGCACTCATAACCCACTTATAAGCCCCTTAAGTGCCCTAATGTGGCTATAAAGTACAGTTATAAGTTCAGTTATAGTTGGTTAATAAGTACCATGAAACCCCAAGTACTCTCATCCCTGCTAAGGACTGTTAGTATAAGTATAAGGGGCAACATCCCAAGGTTCAGGGTTGACACTTGTTGGGTAGGGAGTAAAGCTCAATGACTTCTCGGCACTCCCAAAACCCGTTCAAGGAGGTTTGGGGCTTTCCAACCCAGGGCCCCTTTGCACCAATTTCAATCAGGGAGCACCTCCCAAAGTAGGCGTGCCCTTGCCTTTCAACAAAGCGCCATACACCCTAAACCCTCAACCCTCATCCCTAAACCCTATAAACCCTAAACCCCAAACCCTCAACCCTAAATTTCCCAGTCTCCAGAGCCCTGTCAACTCTTTGTTCGTAAGGGAGAGGGGTTCACGCGGGGTAGGTACCTATAGGGAAACATTAGGGAAGCTTGGTGAGTATTGGGGAACCTTGGGTTACACACCCCCCTTGAACCCCGAACCCGCTATAAACTCTGTGCTATCTCCGAGGGGCCGCCACGGATCCACATGGATCGCTTCACAGCCTGGCGATGGACAACGCGGAAATCAGCCTGCGAATTGACTCCCACAACCTGCAGGTTTTCGGGTTCAGGGTTTAGGTTTTGGGGTTTTGGGGTTTAGGGGTTTAGCAGTTTAAGGCGTAAGGCTATAATGCTTTAGAGACACCGCCAAACACAAAGTGCCATCCGACAGAACCGCATCAAGAACGAGTAAAGAATCGCCTTCTTCTGAGCCCCCTAGAAGAACGAACAAACACACACAGACACACACGCGCGCGCGCCCACACACACACACACACACACACACACACACGAACCTACACCTGCGAACGAGGAACAATCCTGTGTTGCGGTTTAGGCCAATGGAAGCCTACAGTATCCCGGATTGCGGGTCACTTTGGAACGTGGCCCCCAGGGAGCCCATTCCCCCCTTAATTGAGGACAAAAGACCTTCAACCAAACAGGGACCCTTATTGTGAAAGCAGGTATACGGTGCACCCCTGATATACCTACAGCATGGCCCCTCTCATGAAATGAGTCACACTTTGAAGGTTCACGGGTACTTATAAGCAGTCTTATAAGGGGTCGAAAATGAGGAAACAACAACCATAGTTATCCAACTTCTCACACTACTTTTAAGTACACATGAACCTCCAGGGCCCCCCAAACCCTAAACCCTAAACCTCTAAACCCTTCTTGTGTCTTATGAAACAAAGCATGTATGCCTTCATCAAGGGCTGCATTCTTAGGGTAGTTGCATGGTCCCCTTGCTATGGGCCCTTAAGAGGGGACCCCTGATATAGGTCATGGAAAGGGCCCTTGGCTCCCGAAGCCCCGGGGCGTCGGAACTCCCGCTGGCAGCCTCTGCGACGGAAAGGTCCACCGCAGAGGGCCGTGAGGCGTTGGAGGTCGGCCTGGGAGAGGTGAGCTTGGGTTAAGGGTTTTTGGGGTCTGGGGTTTAATTCGGGTCAGGGGTTGAGGGTTTAAGGTTGAGGGTTTAGGGTTGAGGGTGTAGGGTTTAATTGGGGTTTGGGGTGTAATTAGCGATGGAGAGATATAGTTGCCCAGATACGATGTCCCACACTTTGTTGTTGTCTCTCTTGTGCTGCGCCTGTGCTTGTGCTGTCTGTCTTTTCTGGTCAAGACGTTGCAGCACGGTCGTTGCGAAGTTCTGGTCACTTGGGTTCGCGGGTACTTTTAAGCAGGGTTAGAAGTGCCCTAAACAAGGCTATGACCATGATTACCCTACTTCTAACCCTACTTGTAAGTACCCATGGATTGGGATGTTCCCCCTCATACTAACAGTCCTTAATAAAGATTATAGTAGGGGGTACTATAATCCTCACTAAGGACTGCTAGTGTAAGGGGGAAGATCCAAACCCTAAGTCTTGTCGTCCGAAGTTTGGCTGCCGGCCTGCGACTTTCAATCCCACGCCCTACTGAAGTCCTAAAACCAGGAGGCTCAGCCTTCACGGCAGGGTTTAGGTTTAAGGGTTCAGGGTTAAGGGTTAAGGGTTAAGGGTTTAGGGTTCAGGGGTGCATGGATTGAGGCCGAGGACTTGGGTGTGGAGATCTGCAGAAACGATGGCTACTTTTTGCTTAAGAACTCCAGCAAAAACCACAGGTAATCATCCTCATTAATACCCTTACAAAAAAATGTTTTGCTGTCTTTTAGTATAGGGGGGAACATCCCAAGCTCTAAGGCAGGTGCATATACCCATCTCCTCGGGACGCCCGTGAGATGACGAGGCTCGGCAGGGCTTTGTGCCTCAGCTCAAGCTTGGATCAACAAGAACACTTGTTGTCGAAGTCTTTTGCTGACGAAGGGTACCCCTTATACACCCCCTTAAAAACCTTATACAAATTAGGCGCCCATACATCAAATCGGAACCCTTTAAAGGACGTTAGGGACCATATTTCGCGGATCTAGGGGTCGTAGGGTTTGGAGCTCGGGCCCCAACCACAAAGAAAGCGCTTGGGCCTTGCACAGAATTATGCGAGCGGGAGCTCTGGCTCCTTTCTTTGGTAAAGGAGAAGAAGAACATTTGGTAGCCCAACAAAAAAACACAATTGGGGAGCCGGGGGGGTGGGGGGGGGGGGAAGATGTACCAATATAAAACTATAAATACACAACAACACAAAGCGAACATGAAATCTAAACTGTCGTAAGAATAAGTGTGTTGGAATATGTATATATCTATATATATATATATGTATATGTATGTATGTGTATATAAGCATTCAGTATATGGGTATGTCTATATATATATATGTAAACACACATATGTATATATACGCTGATGTAGTTTATGTTTCCGGACTTTTCTGTTCACTTACTCCTTCTCTTTTGCTTCTTATGTATGTGTTGAAGCCGGGCTCTTTGCTGGATTGCTGGCGCAGCTTTCGAAGGGCAGGTTTCCTCTTAAAGCTTCTCAGGGATCCAGAATTCACTCTGAAAAATAAGGTCTGCTCCTGAGTTAAGGGTACTTCTTGGCCTCAGCTGGAACGGAACACCCTCGGAAATGCTGGCTTGCTGCTCTTTCACAACTATAGTATATCGTCTGCAGTATTCCAAACACTGCTTCTCATGGCATACCCTGCCATAACCGCATACCTTGATGAGGTGTACAAGTTTGCTCTGCAGTCCACGACAGGCGATTTCCCGATTAGGTAGTACTGCGCAGTTCTCAGCAAGAGTTCGCAAGCAAAAGTCTACTCTCATAAGAGCTCCCTGAGCCTACCTTGCAGAACAAGATTCCAACTTCAACTTCAACGTTGCAGTTTAGGGGACCGGCTACAAACGCAACAGGGCAAGATGTTCGAATGTCACGAAAGTACAAGTACCCCAGACCCTACTAGTCTGATTTGGCTTTGATAACTGTGCTGTACTATACTACAGTCTACCCTCTACTACAGTCTACCGAAGGAGGCTGGTGGACTATTGCCTAGTAGTTGAGAAGGCCGCCCCGCGCAGAAACAACCTGACGACCCTTTTCATAAGCGGCGAGGTCTAGGTCGTGATTCATTTATGCCTCTTTAGCCATGAAGGCCTTGAATTCTCGGATGTCGTGCTCCACAAAACGGAGGCCGATCTTTTCGAGGTACGCCACCTCTGCAGTCTGGGAGGCGCCCAGACCGCTGTTCTGCCGAGCCGTCTCCTTGGCTTCCTCATCGCAGAGCTGCTCCCAGGGCAGCTTTCCTTGGCCGATGCGGTCTTCGAAATAGAAGACGTGAAGTTCCTGCTCCAGCTTCGCCGCTAGGTCCACGTTCCTGTTCCACTCCTCAAACCACTGACAGCCCCACGGAGCTCGTCCATCTTTCTCAATGCAAAGCTGCTGCGCCTTCTGCATGGCCTCTGCAAGTTGCTGTTGCCACTCCATGTCGGACTGGTCACTCTTGATGACGAAGAGTTGGCCCATGGCATCAGAATCGCTCCGCTTGAAAGCGAGCATTTGCCGACAGGCTGGGGTGTCAATCTCATCTGGTCTCACCTCTACTATGTTCAGGTAGGCTTCGGGCGGAATCTGACCGTAGATGCTATGGCACCAACACTTTCCTGGCGTGTGTGGATTCTCGGCATGTCGTCCTAGCCCTGAGGCGGCATCCGTCAAGAAGACGCAGGCCAAAGACCAAGCCTCCGCCCCTGCATTCACTGCATTCACATCTTGGGCCTTCACGGTAGACACGGCCTCGTCCCATAGCTCACTGTATTTGCCCGGGAAAGACACCACGCACTTGGTGGCCTTCTCGTTGATGCAGCCCGGAAAAGCGATTCTTTTAGATGCGAACCCGAAGCCAGACAGGTCCGCGAGCTGGCGAAAGGCGTCCATGGGCCGGTTCCACTGCTTTGGCCCGACCATACCGCTGAGCATGAGGGTGTTGCAGATTTGCAGGAATATGTCCAAAGTCACCCAGAGCATGTTGCCCATACATCCCTCGGAAGCCATGAGTGCAAACAAGGCCCGAAAACTCAGAGCAGGTCCTAGAATCACCAGAACTGCGCATTTCCGAGCAGGAACAGTGCCGTGGACCGAACGGCCTCATCTTCGCCAGCAGCCCGCAAGCCTCTACACGCCACTATGAGGAGACTGCAGCACTGGGTGACTAAAGTCACGAAGCAGCACAGGAGGCTGAGCATCGCCAAGCAGACAACAATGTCGCCTGCAGTCTGCTGACTACTACCTCGCCGATCACCACCGTACCAGTACCTTGCCACCAGCTCTAGCGTCACACCCATCTTTCCCGCAAGGAATGTGGTTACCAAGCCAGTAATGCCCACAATGTGACAAAACTTGGCCGTTCGACTTCGGCCCAAAGCAAGGAGTTTCAGATTGGTCATGTGAACTTGCAGAAAGTTGCAAGCGATCTGCCAAAACAGTATACCACTAAGGCAAATCTAGACCAATAAAGCCCAGAGTAGGGTGTCTCCTGTGTCATACTGGTATATAAAATTAAGCACACTTTCGCCGCCAAAAAAAGCTGGCGAGAACATAGTGTTGCGACTGAAGATGTGCAGCGGAGACTTCTCTGAAAATCTGTCATTCTTACGCAAGAAGAAATAAACTCCACATCCAGTCATCACAGGGCGCAGCACAGCATCAAACGTCAGAGAAGCACTGTGGCAGCCATGCAAGCCAACCACCAAAAGATTGGCAGCGACATTGTATCAAAGTATAGACCACGAGCGCTTTTGTTGCTGTCGTTATCGCAACGACAGGCTCCCCACGTGTTTCTAGATGCTCGCCCAGCCCTGCGAGAGTCGCCCTCCTACGATTCCTACGCAGTGGTGGCCGATCCTGCGCAGCCATGTCCGTTACGTCGCCTTGCCCCTCACAGGCAGCTCTACGACTTCCTGCGGAAGGGTCTCGGACAGAGATGGCTTGGACGTTGCAAAGCTTAGGGTTTAGGGTTTAGGGTTGAGGGAAACAAAACAATTACATATTTCAAATTCCTACGAACCCTCCCTCATCAAGTATCTAAGGACTCGGACCCCATATACCACAGTTAGAAAACGACACGAAGTTCCAAAACAACACGCAGCGCCAACTGAATTTGGGCCGCTCTCTAAGCTATGGTCCCTTGACATGCATACGAGGCCTAGCAGATTTCAGGGGACTGTAGTTTCGACCCGAAACCTTGAAACCTAAGCACAAGAAGAACTGACAACTTAGGATCCTTCGCCGTGGTGCAAAGCCCGCCTTTTCTGGCGCAGCAAGCCTCACAATGCCACGAATTGCTTAAGAACCACCCAAAAATCGACATATTCTTCCTTATGACTTAGGGTAATATAGGGATCAGATTTTTTGAGCGGGTTCTTAAGCAAATAGTAGAATTTGCAGTGCATCAAAGCTTTGGGACGTGTAATGTTTGGGGCGTCGGGTCTAGGATTTTAGGGGTTTAGGGTGTGTAGGGAGTAGGATTCTAGGTACATTGGAAACCAGACAGGGCACACTATCTTTGGGCGTTGCTAGGTTGAAAGGGTATCCTATTCTGAGACAAGGAGCACGACTCAGAGTTCATCGGAAGCTCTTTCAAGCTTGGGTTCATGGTGCAGGTGCTACATGTTTGTTCAGGCCCTCTGACTAGTGACCTAAATACACCGACAATAAGGGTGCATATATCCACTGCCTATGGCTTGAATAGGGCACACTCCCACTTTTTCATCGGCACCCTAAACCCTAAACCCTAAACCCTCAACCCTCAACCCTCAACCCTCAACCCTAAACCTTAAACCCTAAACCCTAAACCCTGGTCCGGACAAGCGGTAAACCCTCTCATATGGCCTTCAGGCAGCCGGCGCAGGGCTCGCAGCACGTGCAGGGCTCGGACTGAGGTATTCACCTGGGAAGGCCCGGTTGGGGGTTTAGGGTTTAGGGTTTAGGGTTTAGGGTTTAGGGTTCAGGGTTCAGGGTTCAGGGTTTAGGTTCCCTAGATGTTCTTTTTTCTTTTTTTCGGAATGAGGGAATTCGGGCCCGAAATATATTTTATGTATTTAGTTGATTGCATTTATTTACCCTTGGGATTGTATAGGGTACCCTTCCCTCACTCTCTACTAAGAACCAGCCAGAAGCTGGTTCAGGCCCCCCCCCCCCTGAATTGAGCTGACTGCCTGCCTCTGCGCCATTTGCTCCATTTGGCCCGTCTTGAAACCCTTGTGATCGCAACTGGGCACTCAAACCTTAAACCCCTAAACTCCTACAGCCGTAACTGCTTAAAACCCTACACCCTAAACCCCAAACCCCTAAACCCTCACCCTTCTTCCACCTCCCCACGCACAAGCAACAGCTAAAGCGTCCGAGTTGCCCCATGGAAGACAAAGCTGAAGTCGGACCATTCAACCTGCTGCAGTTTAGGTTTAGGGTTTGGTGTTTAGGGTGTCCAGGGTCTTGGGGTTTTAGGGTTTACAGGATTTAGGGTCTTAGGGTTTACAGGGTCTTAGGCCTTGGATTTAAGGCTTTAGGGCCTCAGGGTGTGTTAGGGTCGTAGGGCTTATGGGATTTAGGGTTTAGGGTTGACTGTTTACGGGCTTAGGGGCCTCGTCTGGGAAGGGCAGCACTGGCCAGACGCCCGGCGCGCGGGCGCTGGCAAAAGCGGGTAAGCAGCCTCTCGTCATGGCCTCGGCTGGCGTTGGGGCATTCGTAGGGTAGCTTCATGGTCCTTAGTATGGGCCCTTGAAAAGGAACCCCTTATATATATATATGTATATGTATGTATAAATGCCACTTATATACCCTTTACAGCCCAAGGGCCCATACATCAGCACCGTGTAAGGAGGGTAAGGGACATTAAGGGCCCGTGACATTACCCTTACAGCATTTGGGGTTCATAGGGCCTCTAGCTCATTCGGACTTAAATCCCTAGGGGCATTGGCTTGGGCGGTATGAGGGTTTGACAATTTTGGAGATTTGAAGGCTTGGAGTTTCATTCAGAGTCAGGGTGTTCGGGCATGAAAAAGAATCCGGTCATAGCGGTTCCTGACATCGAGGATTGCAACCTTGGCCCAGAGGGCCCGAAGGCTCAAACTATCCGAGACCATATTCTAGAATAAGTTGGGGGTATCCGAAATTAAGGGACCCCGAATATGGAGCCCCAAATAGTAGGATCCCCTTTGCATCCCGAACCCTAAACCCTAAACCCTATAAGGAACCCCTAATTCTTACTGGCCCCAAAACCAAGGAAATAAAAATCGAAACTTTCAGAATAAACTACCTTATAAGAAGCCCAAAAGTTGAAAAGTTGGTTTTTGAGCCAGTAAGAATTTCGGAAACCGCAGATGGCTTCAGCAAGGATCCTGGACGAGCCATGTACTTGGAGGATCATGGGTACCTTTAAGTAGGATTACGTAGTACGTACCCACCAAATAAGGATATAACCATAGTTACCCCACTTGTAACCCTACTTAAACCCTAAGCCCTAAACCCTAAACCCTGAACCCTAAACCCTAAACACTAAACCTCCAAGTATCGTCCTAGCCACATCCCAGAGGCGCTTCGTGCCATCCGCCGTATCGCCTGGCCTCAGTTGACGCGCTTCCTTCCGCGCCTGATCCGGGGGTAGGTTTGGGGGCCCTATAAAATAAAAGGGTTTTGGGTTTAGGGTTTAGGGTTTAAGCTTTAGGGCTAAAGGTTTAGGGCTTCAGGTTTAGGGTTAATGTTTATGGCTTGATAAACCTGAAAAAAAAAGGGATGAAGGGCTCGATAAGGACAGAGGGATGAAGGGTACTGAAAACTGAAAGTGAGGTTCACTCCTGCCACTGTCATTCTGTGTACGCAAAAGGCACACGGCGCTTAGCCACAAAGCAGGATTTTGCATCCGCATTACATTGTCCGATGTTCCATGCACAACCGAACGTGGTCCCGAGATATTCTCTGTGGTTCCACATAAAATGCCTTCCACCAAGGTAAACCCTAAACCCTAAACCCTAAACGCGAAACCCTACAGTAACTCGGCTGAGGCCGCTGGCAGAATGATGCAGACCTGGCAAGCCGGTCGGGTGTCAGTGAGTCAGGGAGACGTGTGGCGTTCCGAATATGGGAGTTTCCCAAAATAGGGGTACTCCTTGAAAACCCCAAGTACTATCATCCTTATAAAGAGGAATCCCCAAAACAGGGAACCCCCATAAGGCACGGGGACTTGACATGCCTCCGATACTGAAGTCTTCCCGGGGATCTGACTTTCGGGCTTTAGGCCCAGAGACCATACCTTACCACACCAGACAAGGCGCAACGGGGGTGCCCTTTGCGGAGCTGCAGTTGGAATTGTAGAAAAGAGCTGGTGTTGAAAGTTGAAGGGTCAATGTACCTGGTAATCTTATTGGCTCAAGACTGGGCCATGCGCCTGGTAGCAAAAAGAAGTTTTGAGTTCTTGGTGTTTGCTGGTTGGTTCAGGGTGAAACCTCTGGCGACTGTTTGGGTTGATTCCCTTCCCCTTTCGGTTGCCCCCGGAGGTTATGAGCCCAAATTAGGCTTCCTGCGGTGTAGGTAAAATTCTACGCTTGTTTGGCGCAATGGACATGTTGCGGCGTCGGTCGGAACCTGGACTGTCATCCGCGGCCAATGAAGCCGAAGAAAATCGTGGTGATGGGGGTGAAGAACGACAACAAGTGGTACAAGCGCTGACAGATGGTAGGGAGGTTGCAACGATACAACCAACGTCTCAGGTGGAAAACGAAGTGGTTCCGGTTCAAGCAGCAAATCCTTTCTGGAGCGAGCGGGCTCAAGAAGAAATGAGACTGAGGCAATCAAGGCCGGCAAGTCTTCCTGCGAGCGGAGGGGATAGAAGTGGTGAAAATACGAGGAGGCCACCTTCGCTGCAAGATCTTTTGGGTCAGGAACCTGCACCTGTTGAGAGACCATCGTCAGGCTTAATGGGCCAGATGGAACGAGGTACTATTGGTGGAGCGCAAGTAGAGGAAGAGCTCATTCCTGATGTTGGTGGGGAAGAACAA